ACATACATACATACATACATACATACATACATACATACATACATACATACATACATACATACATACATACATACATACACGTGTACAAACGCTAGCCTAACTCTCTCTCTCTCTCAACATAGATGCTGTAGTCATCATTTTCGTTCGATTTACACTGAGAGTTAAACGTGGACAGATATTATTCATTCGTCCATTCCTATGAAATTATTCTGTTAGTCCATTTGAGATCATCTTTTTCAAAGTAATTTCATCTAATTGTTCAATTATTTTTTGATTTGGCGGTTGGTTTCGTTAGAGTTTAAATTGATTTTCTTAATTTTTCGAAAATTTTTGTAAACATATAGTGATTGCATACTTTTTATCAATACTTTTTGTTAGATCGCATTTTTTCGAAAGTTATTTTGGTATGGTAGTTGTATTTATGGACGTTATTTTTTAACTGCATCATTTAATTTTTTATTTAAAAATGATACATACATACATACATACATACATACATACATACATACATACATACATACATACATACATACATACATACATACATACATACATACATACATACATACATACATACATACATACATACATTCATTCACGCTCACATACTCACAAATACACACACACACACAGACACACACAGATACATTCATACCCACTCCATATAAAGAGTATATGTGCTTCAAATTTTTTTTTAAATCTGATTTTAATTCTCGCTAACATTATGGTTATGCTAAGTAAAATCATTTCATTGTTTTGATATGTATGTATATATATGTATGTATGTATATATATATATATATATTAACTGATTAATTATTTAGTTAATTAATTAATTAGTTAAATGATTAATTAAGTGCTTTTCAAGCCAATCTTTTTCGTTAATATTAAAGTGAAACCGAATAAACATAGGCATACGTTTGGAGGTAGGAAGGTAGGTAGGTTGGTAGGTATTTTAGAAATATCGAACCTAGCGAGGCGTATCGAATTAATTCATTCATTAATTCGTTCATTTTTACGTTCATTTATTCATTCATTTTTACGTACATTTGTTCATTCATTCGTTTCTTTGTCTTTCTTTCGTTCATTCTTCTAATAGTTTCTCACCGTTTTCGCTGATTATCAATTCGAATAATAAAATAATTGTAATAATAATTTCATTCATTAATTCATTCACACATTCGTTCCTTCATACGTCTATCCATCCATCTGTTTATTTGTTCATTTATTCTTTCATTCAATCACTCACTCCTTCATTCATTTCAAACTTTGACAATCGGATAAACAATTAACTTCATCAATCATGACGATAATACAAACAATAACAACCGCAATAATAATAAAAAAAAATAATAATACTTATTATTATTGTTGTTATTGTTATAAATAATTAAAATAATGAATTCAATTCACGATACTTCCTTGATTTTCACGTTTCAAACTATAAGAATTATAATATATTATTGCGAATCTGTTATGTATCAATGTGCGTTTGTCTGTGTGTGTGTGTTTGTGTGTAGATGTTTGTATGTATGTGTCGTTACGTATATATCTATACTTATGTATATGAACTTTTGTATGTTTGCATGTATGTATATTTGCAAGTAAGCATTTTTTGTATTTTAATTTGCATGTTGTACATTCATCGAATGTGTTCTCTCGCATTTGAAATTGCTTAAACGTGTGTATGGGCATGTATACATTGTATATATATACATTTATCTGAACACATTTGTGTACGGATGTGTACGGATGTGTACAGATTTTAAGAATACCAGAACGAGATAGCAGGTATCATTAAGTTGAAGTGAGTAAAAAATTACTTACTAATTGAAGGTGCAGATGAGGCCTGAGGGAGTCATGATACAAGCTGGGTGAATGCTGTTAACATTAACATATATGAACTCAATTGCTTTGCTGGTTTGTTTGTTGTTGTATTGTACGTGGTGTTATACACAACAATACCTAGTTATGCCCTTGTACTGTATGCACTGTACAATGTATATATTAATTTTATAATGGCCGTTACCGTATGTTTGTACTCTTGTATGGAGTTTATTTTACGTATGTTGTTGTTTGAGTCATTCGATTTTTTCAATATTTCGTTAGTTTATGCAAATAATTGATCAAAAAAGTGAATCAATACTGCAAACATTCGTTTGATGTCTGAAATTTGTTGTTGGTAGTTTAAGATTTGTTGCAAATTGATAGGAACCAACGACATTTTTGAATTAAAAAACTAAAATAATGGCCACAATGCGGCTTGATATGTTGCTAACATTGAACAGTCCGTAAATAAATAAAGAAATATTTTGTGATTATTATTTATTAAAACTCAGTTTTCTCTAACCACGCAGAGGTGATATTTTGAGAAGCAAGCTCAACAAAGTTGGAAAATCATTTGGAGAAAAACGCGTGCGAGCACACAGAAAGAGAAAATAAATTGCGAGAGGAAGTGAAAGCAAAGAACCAAACTTAAAAAAGAAGAAGAACATGAAGAAGAGTACGATTACCTCCACCACCACCCATGTGACCAGGACGGGTGTCGACCATGGCAGCGTCGATGGGGCTCTCCTCGACGGAGGCTTCTCGTCTTATTCGTCGGGACCAGTTACCGGGGGTCGAACTCTGGTCATCAGTCGTACCATCGGGACCAGCCGCGGTCTGGGCAGCACTTCAGGGAGCACCTTGGAGAGAGCTGTCAGGGCTTCGAATCAGTACGCCAGTGGTGCACCCATCCCTAATTATTCGAGCATCACCGCGTCGGGTGTGTCCTCTGTAAAGGAGTCGAGAGACCAGGAGAAGAAGGATATGCAGGACCTGAATGAAAGATTTGCCAACTACATCGATCGAGTTCGTACTTTTTTAATAATGCTCTTCTTTCTCCTTACAATTTCTTGGCCATTTAATATTTGATATAGATTTTTTTAAACTAAGTTATGTAGAAAAACTCTTGCAAAATAAATTTTCAAAAATTAAATGAGATGTACGTAGTAGCGAGAAAGAGAACTAAGAAATATATCTCTTAAATAAATCAGAATGGAGCCGGACGATGAGAGTTTCATTAAAAAGAGTGCATGTTTGCGTTGTTGAGCATTAAGAAGCGAACAAATAGAACGTCGAAGAATGTTTGCCAACCACAATTTGCATTCAACCAACCACACTAGCCAGAGATTTTCATTAGAAAGCCAATAATGGAAACAAAATTAAATGTAGAAAATAAAAGTAATTTATAATGGCACCCAACGACTTAAAAATGCAAATTAATTTAGACGTGTTCATTTATAACGATATCAACTATGTGGCTATGAAATGATCGATCATTCTTTGAAAAGTTCAACACTGCCCAGGAGCTCTGAAATTTCATTCCTCGTTTTATGACTTTTCAGTGAATCATTTGAAAACTGAAGTTGACTTGTTATTTGATATTCAAATTGACAAGTGAAAATAATTGATTTTTTTGGAGAAATTTACAAATGATAAAATCAAACCTCGAAAACAAACTAAAAGCAATAAACCCCAAACTTAAGTCACACCGAATCACACCAACCGAACAGCCAAACAATCAAACATCTGAACAACCGAACAACCAAACGACGAATCCCCATCTAGGTAAGAAGTCTGGAAGCCACAAACCGCAAACTCGCAGATGAGTTAGCCAAACTGAAGGAGAAGTGGGGCAAGGAAACAGCCCAGGTCAAGGCTATGTTCCAGGCCGAACTCGATGAAGCCAGGCGACAACTGGACGAGGCAGAAAAAGATAAGGCCCGACTGGAGATCAAAGTTGCATCTCTGGAGGAAGAGTTGGAAGAGCTGCGCCAGGAGTAAGTTTTTCCGTTTTTGTTTTGTTTATTTATTTGTCTTTCTGACGGTTTATGTTTGTCTATCTCTTTGTTTGTTTGTCTGTCTGTCTCTCTGTTAGTTTTTCTGTTGTTTATTTGGTCGTTCTATTGATTTAACATATGTTAGATACAACAATATTATTACAATAGAGCATTGGCAATATTGTTACATATGGTTGAGATTTTGTGCGTGGGATAGCTAGATTTTTTCTTAAAATTGAAATTTCGAATGATTTTTTTTATTTTCTCTCTGTACAAATATAGCTTTTTTATTTTAAATAAACTTAATCATTTTTTCGCACTCGCAAGCCACTGAAAAATAATTTTACAACTTAAAAAAATTCACGATCGTCACGAAAATCCTCTCAAGAGATTCAACATTGAAATTTGTTTAAGATTAATTGACAGAAGCAAACAAAACAGACGTGTCTGTAGCCTTAGAAGAAGTGATTTTTTTTAAATCTCACAAAACCTGGCAATATCACAGAGAGAAAGAGAGAGATAGCAAGCACATAGTCAAGCACATGCACACTTAATCTGCAAATATCTTAATACAAAGTCAACAAACTGCAAATCCTTTTCGAAAGTACAATCATTTCAGTCGTCTGCTGACTTAGCGCGTCTTAATCTTCACTACAACGATTGAAAATTTGTGAAATAAGAATGCTAAGAGTAGTTTCAGTGAATGAAAGTATTTAAATTTCTTAATTTCAAGTACTGTTGATATTGTCGTCTCTACTGTGCGTGCAATTGACGATAGTAGATTCTATCATTCTTATATCGGTCCGTGTATCATTGCTCCATTACTTTGCTTTTTTCATTTTCCTCTCTCTCTCTCTCTCTCTCACTCTCTCTCTCTCTCTTTTTCTCTTTCTTTCTAATAAATTTTTTTTCTATGTATATTTCCTCAAACATTCATTTAATGCAGATCGTTCGTAAATGTAAATGTTAAACAGCAGTAGACAAAAAATTCGCACAGTTAGATAACCTCTGCGCATTTTTATAGACTAGATATAGGCCAAATGCACGCACGTACACACACACACGTACACACTCACGTACTCACACACACGTACAGGTAGACTTGTAATGAAGTTAAAGATAAAAATGACTAAATTCAATCCTACGTTCTGCCAGATCAGGCTATTAAAATTCATCAAGAAATTATTTAAACCGATATTATTATTATTATTATTATTATTGTTATTATTATTATTATTTTTGTTGTTGTAGATGTTGTTGTTAGCCAGGTGTAAGGCAGGTATGAAAGCTTTAAAACGCCTGA